CCAAAACCCCAAAACCCCAAAACCCCAAAACCCCAAAACCCCAAAACCCCTTATGGGCAAATTCAGATAGTACAGATGTTTTTTAAATTTATGAATAGATAACAAATGTAGCAATAACTATATTAGCAGCAGCAGTAGCAGCTTCAATCTCTTCTAATTGGTTCTCTTTTGACACGAATTCCGTTTTTATCCACTATTACTATTTCAACTTGATCACCAGTGTAAATATCTCTCTCAGCAATTGAATTAATAATATCTTTACCAGTATCTTCAACAACGCTCACATCATCTGGTAGAGTCTTGACTAGATAGTTGTGACCAACGAATTGATTATCAAGAATAGGGGCTCCGAGTTCACTTCCAGAGCCTTGCACACCATAGGTAAGTTTATCCCAAGAACCAATAGCATCATAGCCATAGACAGATCCTTGCCCATTTTGATCGATACCACACAATAGATTGAATGCGTAGTATGGCATGAATCTTCTGCCGTAGAGGGTGTTTCCTAGAAGTTGAGCAAGTGACTCAACTGTTGGGGTCTTCTTGAATTATCTTTGATAAGTCTTAACTTTTGCGATCAGCAATTTGTGCAAAGTCTCAATATCTGCGACCATACCACCTGAAGTAATAACACACTGGTCAGTCAACTTGGTGGTTCTTGAGTAGTCTCTGGAGAGGATGTTGAAACCCTAGGAGATTCTAGTGTCAGCAGCCACTAAGACGAAGTCCTTGCCAGCAATAGCTATAACACAAAATGTTGGTTAAGTCATTCGCAGTGATTTATTATGCAATTTATCTCTATTTTGAACTTTACTTACCTACTGTAGTACCCTAGTTGTTAACATAGGGGTTGAATCCACCCTTGGCATGTTGAGTGTTATCCTTAAGAAGGTGATGTGGCTGCTCAACGACATTGTGAATGGATGAGACCTCTCTCTTTTCATATACCTTTTTAAAGATGTTTACGTTGGTGTAATTTTCCAAATCCATACTTTTAAACTTAATTTAGTTTATAATTTAAATTCCGCTTTATTATATTTCAGACTACATCTCTAGGGGTTTTGGGGTTTTGGGGG